AGTAATACCTACAACAATCAAGGCTTAACTACAACAAGACCGTGCACAACACCCACAAAGGGGTGCACCAAGAGTGTCCACTTCAGGTAATTGGGGAGGCTGAGCCACTGGGCCCTATAGGACACCTAACACAGAAAGCCACTCTATCAACACAGAGAAGCATAAAAAATGCAGAGACAAAAAACGGTCACAAATGACAGAAATGGAGGAAAGCAAACTGGTGGATATAGAGTTCAAAACCACACTTTTAAGGTTTTTCAAGAATTTTCCAGAAACCACTGATAAATTTCGTAAGACCCTCAATAAATCTAGTGAGACCCTCGAGGATGTGAAAAAGGACCAACTAGAAACTAAGCATACACAGACTGAAATAAAAAATATTACACAGAGTTCCAACAGCAGACTAGAGGATCACAAGAATCAAGTCAAAGATTTGAAATATGAAGAAGCAAAAATCACCCAACCAGAAAGACGAAAAGAAAAAAGAATCCAAAAATATGAAGATAGTGTAAGGAGTCTCTGGGACAACTTCAAATGAACCAACATCCGAATTATAGGGGTGCCAGAAGAAGAGAGAGAGCAAGATACTGAAAACCTATTTGAAGAAATAATGACAGAAAACTTCCCCTACCTGGTGAAAGAAATAGACTTACAAGTCCAGGAAGCGCAGAGAACCCCAAACAAAAGCAATCCAAAGAGGACCACACCAAGACACATCATAATTAAAATGCCAAGAGCAAAAGACAAAGAGAGACTCTTAAAAGCAGCAAGAGAAAGAAGGTCAGTTACATACAAGGGAGTACCCATATGACTGTCAGCTGATTTCTCAACAGAAACTTTGCAGGCCAGAAAGGAGTGGCAAGAAATATTCAAAGTGATGAATGACAAGAACCTACAACCAAGATTACTTTATCCAGCAAAGCTATCATTCAGAATTGAAGGTTAGATAAAGAGCTTCACAGATAAGGAAAAGCTAAAGGAGTTCATCACCACCAAAGCAGGATTATATGAAATGCTGAAAGGTATCCTTTAAGAAGAGGAAGAAGAAAAAGGTAAAGATACAAATTATGAACAACAAATACACATCTATCAACAAGTGAATCTAAAAATCAAGTGAATAAATAATCTGATTAACAGAATAAATTGGTGAATGTAATAGAATTAGGGACATAGAAAGGGAGTGGACTGACTATTCTCAGGGGGAAAAGGGGTGTGGGGGGTGCGGGAAGAGACTGGACAAAAATCGTACACGGAAAACCAAGATGGCGTCATAGGTAAACACCGGAGTTTGCTGCCTCAAACAGCCATTTCAAAAATACAACTAAAAGCCCTGACCAGTTTGGCTCAACGGATAGAGAGTCGGCCTGCGATCTCAAGGGTCCCAGGTTCGATTCAGGTCAAGTGAATGTACCTTGGTTACAGGCACATCCCCAGTGGGGAGTGTGCAGGAGGCAGCTGATTGATGTTTCTCTCTCATCGATGTTTCTAACTCTCTATCCCTCTCTCTTCCACTCTGTAAAAAATCAATAATATATATTTAAAAAAAAAATACAACTAAAAGACAGAACGGACATCACCCAGAACCACAGGAAGGCTGGCTGAGTGGAAATTCTACAACTAGAAAGAAAGACAAAAGCATACCGAGACTCACAGGAGGTGCTGTGCGGAAGTAAAATACTAAGGTTCGGAGGTGCATGCGGAGCAGGCTGGTGGCTGAGGGCACGGTTGTCTTTTTCAATCAGGAGGGAGTCTTAGGCTCTGAGCTCCAGTTCCAGGTCAGTCTCTGGGGACCAAGACTCAAACAGGAGAAGTGGGACTGTCTGGCATCGGTTGGAACTCGAGGGCAGCTTTCTCTCTGAGGCACTTGCAGCAATTGCTGGGACACTGAGAAGGAGAGCCTCTGAAGGCAGGACTGAGAGCAGCCATAACTGCTCGCTTGGCCCACCTTGTTGATCCCCTGGGACCCGTCCCGCCAAATCCTTGCATGCAGGCATTTGCTGGATAGCCTCAGGCAGAGGCTAGATTAGCACCTCCCTAGAGATCAGGACAGAAGTTCTCCCACTGCAAACACAGCTGATTCTCACAGCCAATTGGCCTGGAGGTCAAATCCCTCCCAGTGTTACCTACAACAATCAAGGCTTAACTACAACAAGACTGTGCACAAAGACCACAAGGGGGTGCACCAAGAAAGCATAAAAAATGCGGAGACAAAGAAACAGGACACAAATGACAGAAATGGAGGAAAGCAAACTGCTGGATATAGAGTTCAAAACCATACTTTTAAGGTGTTTCAAGAACTGTCTAGAAGCCGCTGATAAATTTAGTAAGGCCCTCGAAAAGACTGGTGAGACCGCCGATAAATGTAGTGAGATCCTCAAGAAATCTAGTGAGACCCTCAATGTTGTGATAAAGGACCAACTAGAAATTAAGCATACATTGACTGCAATAAAGAATATTATACAGACTCCCAACAGCAGACCAGAGGATTGCAAGAATCAAGTCAAAGATTTGAAATATGAAGAAGCAAAAAACACCCAACCAGAAAAGCAAAATGAAAAAAGAATCCAGAAATATGAAGATAGTGTAAGGAGCCTCTGGGACAACTTCAAGCCTACCAACATCCGAATTATAGGGGTGCCAGAAGAAGAGAGAGAGCAAGATATTGAAACCTATTTGAAGAAATAATGACAGAAAACTTCTCCTACCTGGTGAAAGAAATAGACTTATAACTCCAGGAAGCGCAGAGAACCCCAAACAAAAGGAATCCAAAGAGGACCACACCAAGACACATCATAATTAAAATGCCAAGAGCAAAAGACAAAGAGAGAATCTTAAAAGCAGCAAGAGAAAGAAAGTCAGTTACATACAAGGGAGTACCCATATGACTGTCAGCTGATTTCTCTACAGAAACTATGCAGGCCAGAAAGGAGTGGCAAGAAATATTCAAAGTGATGAATGATAAGAACCTACAACCAAGATTACTTTATCCAGCAAAGCTATCATTCAGAATTGAAGGTCAGATAAAGAGCTTCACAGATAAGAAAAAGCTAAAGGAGTTCATCACCACCAAAGCAGTATTATATGAAATGCTGAACGGTATCCTTTAAGAAGAGGAAGAAGAAGAAAAAGGTAAAGATACAAATTATGAACAACAAATACACATCTATCAACAAGTTAATCTAAAAATCAAGGGAATACATAATCTGATGAACAGAATGAACTGGTGATTATAATAGAATCAGGGGCATACAAAGGGAATGGACTGACTATTCTTGGGGGGGAAAGGGGTGTGGAGGATGCGGGGAGAGACTGGACAAAAATCGCGCACCTATGAATGAAGACAGTGGGTTGGGAGTAAGGGTGGAGGGTGGGGTGGGAACTGGGTTGAGGGGAGTTGTGGGGGGAAAAAAGAGGACAATGTAATAATCTGAACAATAAAGATTTAATTAAAAAAAAACGCACACCTATGAATAAGGACAGTGCGGGGGGGAGGGTAAGGGCAGAGGTCGGGGTGGGAACCAAGTGGAGGGTAGCTATGGGGGGAAAAAACAGGAAGAACTGTAATAATCTAAACAATAAAGATTTAATTTATAAAAAAATTACATATTGTTTTTGTGATTAATCACTATGCTTTAATTATGTTCAATTTGTAACAATGAAAATACATCCTGCATATCAGATATTACATTACGATTTATAACAGTAGCAAAATTACAGTTATGAAGTACCAACGAAAATAATTTTATGGTTGGGGGTCACCACAACATGAGGAACTGTCTTAACCCTTTTCTGTCCAACATGGAGGCTGACTTGACAGATCAGGAGCTAGGAACAGGTCCAACGTTGAGGCTGTGGTCGACACCGCAAACCGGTTCAACATTCAATCCCGTCAATTAATTTGGACCAGACTGTTTGAATTCCAAAAATAAAATTGGACCACAAAGGGTTAAAGGGTCATGGCATTAGGAAGTTTGAGAACCACTTATCTAAAGGAATTTAAATCTAGCACTGGAAATAAAACATGCTAAATCTTATAAGTTGGATATACTACAGAGGCTAAGACAAAGGCTCTATCTGCAGAATAAATACACTGAGGATTTTAGAATGAAGAAATAATCAAGGCACGAACTGGGTTAACATTTTAAGAAACAGAAGGCACTAAAGAGGAATGGGAGTAAACACGCACATCGGCCCAGCCAGTGTGCTTCAGTGGGTGAGTGTCGACCCATTAACCAGGAGGTCACAGTTTGGTTCCCTGTCAGGGCAAATGCCCAGGTTGTGGGCTCGATCCCTAGTGTGTGCGTGCAGGAGGCAGTCGGTCAATGATTCTCTATCATCATTGATGTTTCTATCTCCCCCCACTTCCTTTCTGAAATCAATAAAGATATTTAAAAGAAAGCTTTAAAAATACATTTATTTAAAAGAAAATAAATATTGGTCAGTATTCAAATAAGCCAAATGATGTTATCACATGACACAAGAGGTTCAGCTTATAAATATAACTGCTACATAACACATCTAAAGACAGTTGTTATCCGTTGCTATAATTTCATTCCACTAAAACTATGACTCAAACCCAAGCTTGAGAAAACGCTTTGCCTTCATAATATTCTAGATCTGTATAGTTTCATAGAGCTGAAAAAAACCTCTAAGGCTTTTGTTGAGCACATTTCATTTGTGTTCAAAATAATTTCTGTGAAAATAGTTGTCATCACTATTTTAAGTTTTTCTCTATTCTATATAAGGGACCTAGCAGAAATGAGAACAGACAAGAGAATGAAAGGAAGACACACAATGAAAAAATACCAGTGTTTTAGCAGGAATGCAATGGCAATGAGATGGTATCTAGATGAATAAAGTAGACAGAATAGAATTTACAAGTTAGAAGTTGCCGGAAACAGCTTAGATAAATGACAGAACCCAGTTTGATTGGCTTTGGTTATAGGATTGCTATTACCATGACACATGTTCCTTCCAGACTATACTAAAAGCCCACATACCTTCCACTGCCTTGACCTTTTCCTCCAACTCTCTTTTCTTCTCTTCCTTTAGCATCTGCTCTTGCTCCTTCTTCTGCACTGCTATAAGAAGTTGACGTTCTTCTTCTTCCTCTTTGCGCTTCTGTTTTTCTATTCTGGTAATCATAGGAGTCTCCTGTGAGGAGCCAGTAAGTGTAGAGTCAATATACAACAATGTAAGATGTATTCTTGCCCTGACCAGTTTGGCTCAGTGGATAGAGCGTCGGCCTACGGACTCAAGATGTATTCTTCACTCTGAGTTAAGATTTAATTTTTATTGAATTCAATCTATTTAATCCTATCTAATAATAGACAAACAGGGTAACTGACCATATCTTCGCTATGCTTCCCATTGGCTAATCAGAGAGATATGCAAATTAACTGCCAACAAAGATGACGGTTAATTTGCATATGTAGGCGGGAAGCGGCGGAGCGACTCTGGCCGGAGCAGGGAAGGCTTTGAAGGCGGCTCCGGCCAGAGCAGCTATCAAAGCAGGTCTGGTCAGAGCAGTGAAGGCTTTGAAGGTGGCTCTGGCTGGAGCAGCGATCAAAGTGGGTCCAGCCAGAGCAGCGAAGGCTTTGAAAGCAGCTCCGGCCGGAGTAGCGAAGGCTTTGAAGGCGGCTCTGGCCAGAGCGAAGGCCTGGGTCCCCGGTGCCGAAGGAAAACCAGTGCAGGCAGCCAGGGGAAGGGAAGGCCTATTGCACGAATCTTTTTGTGCAACAGGCCTCTAGTAAATAATATTAGATAGCTAGAGAATGTATAGCATACTTACAAATTCGGTTTTATCACCTAAAGAATACATATAACATATATGTAATTACACTAACATTAAAACACACCAGAGATTTTAAAAATGGTACAAGTTTTGGGCCCAATGGCTTATGTAATTTGTAGTCTTTGGGAAGTAATATTATAAAGAATACACTGAACTGGAGAAGAACAAATTGAGGCAATTCAGAGACCTTTTTTACAACTTTAATGTTGGATAAAAGTGAAACCTGAAAAAGTACTGTAAAAGGATGAAAAATATTCACTAGACAGAAAAAAATCACAATTTCAACATTGTACATCACTCTGAAACCCTTAACTTTTATACTTTTCTTTAGTAGTAAAACAATGAGTAAAATTGGGGGGATGGTAGTAAGGACCACTGTTTTGCGTTAAATACACTGGGAATTTGCCTAAGGAATCTAATAAAAGAAAAGGTAAACAAACACACAAAAAAACAGGACAACTATAATTTATTGAAGATTTACTTTGTATATTTCCCAAAATAAATAATCTGCTTTGGCTCACTAAGTCAGAGAGAAGGGGTCTAGGGGACAGGGTCAGGGGGTTAACTGGGGACCAGATGCCTCAGTCCATTGCTCCCTAGTAAGCCTCCTGGGTTTCTTAAGTTTAGAAGAGAAGATGAGGGGGAAGGGAAAGGCAGGCATGCTCCTGGGAGGGAGAGCACTGTGAAGCTTTTCTTAAAAGATCTTTTCAATAGGAAGCAGATGTAAGAGTCTTTTATGCAGATAAATATTTAAAAGTTTCATACTATGGAAATTGTTCAAGTGATTTTAATGTGGGGGGGAAAAGTGAATATAGATCACTATTTACACATGTCATAATTAAACACAAACTGCTGATTAAAATTTTGTATTATTTTCCTTATAGGCCTTAAAACTAGTTTTGATTCTACATTTGATTCAGATTTTGGAAGTTGTCATGCCTAGATAGGCTTTTATAAAGTCATTTTTATCATTAAATACTGTAAGCCTGACTTAAAAGGAGTTTGCTATCCAAAGGTAAAATCTGGAATGAATGAGAAGAGAGATAAAACTGAAACAAACAAAAATTAACCATTATTATTGCATACATAATACTGTACTCATAAGGAACCTCAAAACCTAAATAGAATTCAAGTTCCCCAAAATCTTTATCCTATAACCAGAGTAGACAGTTAAATATGCTAGATATTGTTTCTGAAATGGGGATGGTCCTGGCATTAAGCAAGGACAATTCTTCTGAAGAATGTGTCTCTCTAGTTACTGGTTCTTAAAGGTCAGAAAAGCACCTTCTCTGCAATGCATGAGTACCATTCCCTTTACCCCATCTCTCCAGGTCCTTATTTAGTCCAACTTTTAGGCAACATCTTTCCTCAGCCGAGAAGTTATGATGAAATTATAGTTAATAAACCAAAGCAAACCAAAATAATTACTTTTTCTTCTTTCAGTCACATAGAGACTCCAAGCTGATACTACCTTTAATATAAAAATTCATATGATGGGGGAAAAGGAGGAGAGAGAGGAAAAATAAGTCTTGTCAAAGGAATTATTTCATTCAAAGAAAGCTGTACTACTTTCTATAAATGAGAAACATAAAAAAGAGAAAAAAATGGGCATATATTTACATGTAACAATGATAATGTGTGTGTATTCTTTTTAAAAAAAAACTATATTTTTATTGATTTCAAAGAGGAAGGGAGAAGGAGAGTGAGACAGAAACATCACTGATGAGAGAGAATCATTGATTGGCTGCCTCCTGCATGCCCCACACTGGGGATCGAGCCCGCAACCCGAGTATGTGCCCTTGGCCGGAATCGAACCTGAGACCCTTTCGTCCACAGGCTGACACTCTACCCACTGAAACAAACCAGCTAGAGTTAATGTGTGTGTATTCTGTGCCTCTATGACAAAAGGACAGCTGGTGAAAACATGAAATATTCTTCCTTCGAAGAGTACAAGAGGATATTAATAGGACCAAGAATTTTATTAAGGACTAAAGAGATGCAAGCCAATGAATCATGAATAGAAATATTAAATCACCAGAGTCACCTGGAAAACAACATGGAGACATTTCAAGCATTAAGTCAATGGAAGGGGAAAAAGGGAAAGAATAGTTAATTACATAAATCTTTACAATATATAAATATTTTTATAACAAATATGATTTATTATTTTTAGTATGTAACAATGTCTTACAAACAGTAGCCACCCCCAAAACAAACAGAACACAAATATAAGACATATAGAAGATAAACCGGCTGAACCAAGATGGCGGCATAGGTAAACACCAGAGTTTGCTGCCTCGAACAACCACTTCAAAAATACAACTAAAAGACGGAATGGACATCACCCAGAACCACAGGAAAGCTGGCTGCGGGGAAATTCTTCAACTAGAAGGAAAGAGAACAGCATACTGAGGCTCAGAGGAGGCGCAGTGCAGAATATACAAAGGTGAGGAGGTGCGCGCAGAGCAGGCTGGTGGCTGAGGGCGCGGTTGTCGTTTTCAATCGGGAGGGAGGCTCAGGCTCTGAGCTCCAGTTCTGGGCGAGTCTCTAGGGACCCAGACTCAAACGGGAGAAATGGGACTGTCTGGCATCGGTGAGAACACGAGGGCAGCTTTCTCTCCGTGGTTTGCAGCGGTTGCTGGGACTCTGAGAGGCAGAGCCTCTGGGGACAGGACTGAGAGCAGCTGTAACTGCTCCCTCCGCCTGCCCTGTTTGATCCCGTAAGACCTGCCCCGCCCAAGCCCTGCACAGAGGCATTTGCCGGATAGCCTCAGGCAAAGGCTAGATTAGCACCTCCCCAAAGGACAGAAGTTTTCCCACTGCAGACATAGCTGATTCTCACAGCCAGTTGGCCTGGAGGTCAAATCCCCCCAGTATCAACTACAACAATCAAGGCTTAACTACAACAAGACTGCGCACAAAGACCACTAGGGGGTGCACCAAGGAAGCATAACAAAATGTGGAGACAAAGAAACAGGACAAAATTGTCAATGGAAGATATAGAGTTCAGAACCACACTTTTAAGGTCTCTCAAGAACTGTTTAGAAGCCGCCGATAAACTTAATGAGATCTACAAGAAAACTAATGAGACCCTCGATCTTATATTGGGGAACCAACTAGAAATTAAGCATACACGGACTGAAATAACGAATATTATACAGACTCCCGACAGCAGACCAGAGGAGCGCAAGAATCAAGTCAATGATTTGAAATGCGAGGAAGCAAAAAACACCCAACCGGAAAAGCAAAATGAAAAAAGAATCCAAAAATGCGAGGATAGTGTAAGGAGCCTCTGGGACAGCTTCAAGCGTACCAACATCAGAATTATAGGGGTGCCAGAAGATGAGAGAGAGCAAGATATTGAAAACCTATTTGAAGAAATAATGACAGAAAACTTCCCCCACCCGGTGAAAGAAATAGACTTATAACTCCAGGAAGCGCAGAGAACCCCAAACAAAAGGAATCCAAAGAGGACCACACCAAGACACATCATAATTAAAATGCCAAGAGCAAAAGACAAAGAGAGAATCTTAAAAGCAGCAAGAGAAAGAAACTCAGTTACCTACAAGGGAATACCCATATGACTGTCAGTGGATTTCTCAACAGAAACTTTGCAGGCAAGAAGGGAGTGGCAAGAAATATTCAAAGTGATGAATGATAAGAACCTACAACCAAGATTACTTTTCCCAGCAAAGCTATCATTCAGAATTGAAGGTCAGATAAAAAGCTTCACAGATAAGGAAAAGCTAAAGGAGTTCATCACCACCAAAGGAGGATTATATGAAATGCTGAAAGGTATCCTTTAAGAAGAGGAAGAAGAAGAAAAAGGTAAAGATACAAATTATGAATAACAAATAAGCATCTATCAACAATGAATCTAAGAATCAAGTGAATGAATAATCTGATGAACAGAATGAATTGGTGATTATAATAGAATCAGGGACATAGAAAGGGAATGGACTATTCTTGGGGGGGAAAGGGGTGTGGGAGATGCGGGAAGAGACTGGACAAAACTCGTGCAACTATGGATGAGGACAGTGGGTGGGGAATGAAGGTGGAGGGTGGGGTGGGAACTGGAAGGAGGGGAGTTATGGGGGGGGGGGAAAGAGGAACAAATGTAATAATCTGAACAATAAAGATTTAATTATAAAAAAAAGAAAGAAAAAAAAAGAAGATAAACCACCCACATGAATGATCAAAAGGAAGAGCACAATACAATAGCTTTTTCACTTATAAAATTGTTAAAAATGATACAAAGTGACACATTGTAAAGACTGGTAAACATGTCTTCTGGAGGACAATCTGGATATATGTATCAGGAATCTATACAGAGTACTTACACTTCTTAAAAAGGAGATAG